TATTTGGCACATGGACATCTGGCAGCCCTAAGTGTCCAGACCAGGGAACCGCTCAGACAGGGAACCAGGGAACTGAAGCAGCAGGACCTGTGGCTCCTGCGGTGGGGCTGTCAGCTCCCGGGCCCCACGTCCCAGGCCACCGGTTCCCATGCCCTAGGTCACAGTCCCCACTGAGCGCACGGAGACACCCCGCCTCGGCCACCTTACCTTTAAAGTCAAACCACCACTTGAGAGAGGGCCTTTGGGACGGGAAGAAGAACAAGATGGTGACAATGGCTACACCGGTGACAGCATCAGAAAGGAACCTACAAAGACAAGGCCCCAAAGCACGTGACCTCAGGCATCTCAGCAGACCAAGATTTGGCAGATTTACAAATGAGGATTTGTGGGAGGTGGGAGGGAATTAGGGCCTCTGAAAAGGGGCCTTGTTGGAGGCCTCTGGCTTCAGTCCTGCACTGAACCCAGTATGGGTGCAACCACCCATGGATGCAAAAACCCTTTATCCACAGCTCCCTGGGGGCATTTAGACGCTGCTTGAGCCAAGCAAGTACTTATCCTCCTAATTCAAGGACCCCATGAAGAGGGATTTGACCAAAGAGGGAAGAACCTGAGAGCCACAGGATATTGGGGTCTGTGGAGCCCCCACAGACTCCTGCAAGAACCTGTATTTGTTCAGCTTCTGCTTGCATTCCTTCTGGGACGGGCAGCTTACTACATGGAGATGCAGCCCAGCAGAGCCAAGATCAAACCAGACTCAGATTCCCTCAGAACCTCACTACCATCTTTCAAGGATCCACAGTGTGTGTCCTGTGCAGACATGAAGCTCACAGAAGCCTCAGAAACAGCCCTTGGGGGCTGGCATCTTCTATTTCAGATGAGGATTCCAAGGCTCAGAGAGCAGAAGCAACTCACTGAAGGCCAGACCATGGTGATGGGGGAGATGGGCATTAACCCCAGATATTTCTGGCTCCACGTTTCATGAAGCACAGAGCCAGCTGCTAACAAAAGCTTTTTCAGCCCACACATTTGGGAAGAAGAGTGCTCAAATGGCCGAGAAACTGGGAAAGATGGTCAATATCACTATCTATTAGAGAAATACACATCAAGACACGAATGGAGTACCATTCATCTGCAAACAGACAGGCAAACTTGAAACAAGGCATAATACAAAACGAAGATGCTGGGAAACTAACAGGGGTGGTGGGAAAACAAACAGGTTTAATCTTCTGGAGGGCAGCCGGCAACATGTTTCAACACCCCCTGATCCAGTTATTGTGCTTCTCGGAATTTATCTGCAGGAAATAAGTGGACTCTTGTACACAGATTATGTAAGGGCTATTCATTACTGATAACAATAAACAAATAGAAGATTTTTAGTAGAGGCCTGTTTAAGTAAATTGTGTTTAATATAA